AAAAAGAGAAAAAAAAATGAAAACTTGTAGTTGCTATTGTACGTGTTTATGTTTGAATTATAAATATATATATATCATATAATATCGTGTTGTACTCGCATGGTTTAGTTTATATCCTATTTTAGAGATCATTAAAAAAAAATCTGATACATTTAGCACTAGTATTATAGGTATTTTTATTTTTATGAATTTCGCAAATAAAATTATAGTCCAAGATTCAGTCCGCAAGACCGGGAACAAGACTTCCATAGCCTCGGCTTATGCTAATAATATATATATATGTGCGATTGGTTCATCGCCGAGTCTATACACAGGTAGGCACTGTGCGTCGCGGGTGGCGAGTGGGTTAACACGCGGAGAACGGGTGTCGCAACGGTAAACCGCCGTTTTGCGGTGCGTATAAATGATAATGATAAATGATAATATAATTGAATGTAATATGATTATTAAATTTGAGTGGGTTGCGTTATTATAGTGCGATTAATTATCGTTGTTGACGGACGGGCGTAAAAAAAAAAAAAAAATACTATATTACGGAAAACGACGCGCCCAAAACGCGTATAATGTGTCACGACTTCGTCGTTTATATTTTACGTATATGTATTTATTATATCTATGAGCACACACACAAACCGACCATTGTTTACCCGTAATAATAATAATAATAATAATAATAATGTTTCGTGTTTCAAAATTGTGATTTAATGGATCCGTTAAATGTCTTCACTAACCGTCGCGTCGCGTCGCCGCCGCTGACTAATATGATTATTATTATCACAGTTTCTAATATTATGTTAACAAAGTTTTTAGTATCCAGTGTCGTATTTTTTTTTTTATATAATTTCTCTCGCACGACCATATTATGTATACCATTATTATGTTCACAGATCGTAAGTGTAAGACGATAATAATTTGGTCTCACAAGTCTTGGAGGTTACATTCTTTATCACTCTGTCTCTTTTAGCTTTTTTCAAACTTTCTGAGGAAATATTGATAGGCAATGCAATGCAAATGGCGTGTAATAATTTTTCATTTTTATTACACTTAATTTAATTTGAGTACCCATACAACAGCTAGGCATATAAAAGTAATTATTACACATATTTTATAAAATCTAAACTATTTAATTATTTATATCTTATGTTTTGATTAAGTTATCATTTTTATGTAGGTAACATAATATTCTGGTATGGGTTGCAAATCATAGACGAGCAATTGTTTGACCGAAACATAGGGTTCGGCGCCACTGGCGGTGATAGTAAACAAAGTACACAAAACAACGCCATGATATAATGCGAAAAATTATAATAACATGTAATCTATTTCGGATAAAACTATAAAAGAAATATCTACTACTAAGGTCATGCAGCGAAAGTGTATTCCCCAAAACCCGGCGGTCTCTCTCTGCCTCTCGGTTTCTCTCCTGTTTCTCTCTATTTCTCTCCTCTCTATGACTCTGTACGAATATATTACAACGACGCATAGAAGACCATTTACATCGGAAAGTTTTAGCAGGATTCCGATCTCGGGGGAATTTAAACGCTTTTTGCCTTTGAAGTCCGATTCAGCCCTTATACAATATTATATCGAGTGTATAAATTGTATAATAGTTTCCCGGAGCGGCCTTGGCGAGACACGGCGGACACGCAATAGATAGGTAAATTTGATATTATAATATAGATGGGCAGTTATAGCATCATGGAACAGAATCGCATGGGCAGGATCTGCGAAATACCGACGAATATTATATTAATATTCGTCGTTTAACATTATTCGATAGATATCGCTGAACGCCGAGTATTTCCGTCGAACGTCAAATTATTATAATTCGCAGACGACTGTGTATTATTTTGACGAACGGTACACTCGGAAAATACTACTCGCCGCCGACGTAGCCTAACTTTGCGGTAACGGTACTGTTCCCGCCACTGGGTTCAGGCCATCGCCGAGATGCGTATCCAACGGACTGGAAAATAGTCTGTTTTCATTGTTATTGTTATCATCAACCATCGTCATCATCATCTACGTCATCATTATCATGATCGTCGTCGTCGCTGTCGTCCTCGTTTGTTATTAGATATTACCAAACTTGCACTACTTCACCACTTTATTATACTGTTGTTGCCAGAAGTATTATTTTATATTAATATAATACATTAAAAGCGATCAAGACGATCCGTGAAAATATTGGTTTGAGAACTGCTGCAGAGAAACGATGCATGTGTAATATTCAAGTTAAAAAATGTCTTCATTTCGGATAATTTGATTTTTTTAAACCAGTTGCAGTCGTCTACCGTTTATGACATTTCCCGTTCTCGCGATATACCGATACAGACAAGCAAGGATATTATTTACTTAAAATTCAATGGACAATTTTTTTTTTAAAGAGCTGTACCGGATTCGGTTTAAATAAAAATATATTGAAAAAAACTTGATTCGTTTGACCAAATTAGAGTGAGTTATGATGATGAGTTGTTCACAAAATGCACACACATAGTTAGTGCTGCACCTTTGTGTATGAAAGTTTCATGTGAATTATCGTCGCCGAACATAAAAACAATCTGAAATCACCCCAGATCGGTTCGTATATTTTATTATATTATATTATCTCAATCTAATAATATGTATATATGTGCCTAATACCTATTGTATACACTATTCCACCATCATCGCCCTCTTCACCGCTATAGAAATTACAGTTCGCCGTTGTTCGCCGCCGCCTCCGACAAGGTCTGACAAATCAGCCATAAAAACAATGCTGCAGGTTCGTTCGCGGCTCGATAATAAGTAGAACGCCAATAGATGCGTTTTCCCGATAAAAGTCATGGCCTACAAAATATTGTAATCTGGCACACAGCGAGTTGATGGTTTTGTTTAATATGTACTCGCGGAAAACGTGCAGTAATCGTGGAACTCGTCGAGGTGAAAAAAAAAGAAATGGGTTTATGAGGTGTAAAACCGATCAGCCTCGAAACGACCGTCCGACATAAGTGGTATACATATTGTATTAGTTATATAATATATATATATGTATAGGTATGTATCTATAGGAACCACAGAATAAGTGGCGGCGACAAGCCGTTTTTCTTATTACGGACATTTTTTCTCCTTTTCGTTGCTCAATTTCGTACGGAACGATATGTAGGTTTAAGTATACTTATCTCCTCATATAATATCATAATAATACAACATGTATACTGAGGTAATCAGGTATAAATCGGTATAATCGGTAAAAAATTCTTCGTAGATATTATAACTATTTAGGTACTTATTTCTCTTCTCTCGCGGTTCTCCGGGCTGGGACGCAAGTTTCAAGTGCACGCCAGTACGTGAATGTTAAAAAAATATTGAATATTTAATAGCAAAAACGTCGGTGATAGAGAGAGGTATATTATAAGGAAAATAAATACGAAGAAATATTGTTACACGATTTCATTATAGAAGTTGATATTATATTTCATTGCATTTTTAACTTGCTTGTTGTGTAATATACTCTTTTTATCATGCATTTGGTTTTATGTCGTAAACTCTTAACGGACGATATAGTGTCGCTGATGACCAATTTGTTTCCCAAAACTTATTAAAATGTTTAGCGAAATCAAAAAATGTGCTGACGAAAAATGTGCAAGGTATGTACCAAAGAACAATTTTATAGGGAATATGTCAAAATAAAAATAAGAAATTAAGACTTTTTAAACTGAACATACTTAAACGTGACCTAACCTCTCGAGATTTAATATAAGCAAGCCTTTGACTATATACTATCAAGTATGAACGAAATACTTTTGTCGATTTACATATTTGCAGTCGTAAGATCGAACTTAAGCGTACAAAAAAAGTGTACTGAATTAATAACCGAACGTGGCAATGAAATAATATATAAAATCGCTGTCGTAAAAAAAAATCCGAACAAATTACCTTAACCTAGAAAACTTCGTACAACCGCATAAAATGTATTTTCCGAACATGGAACAATAAAATCGTATAATATACAATTAAACAATGGGATGGGAAAAAGAAAACTCGAAAAATGATCTATAATGTAATTAGAGCGATCACTAGCTATATAATTACTCTTCAAATTGATGTACCTACGATGTGTTTTTTTTTTCAACAATACATCGAGACCCGCAGCGATTTATATTTAAAACCGTTTCAACACTTTATTTCAGTCGATTCATTATTCAGTTACATTATGGTCGGAAC